TTTTCGTTAGTAGAAGCATTCGTAAGTAGAGGTACCACTGTATTTGTGGTTTTTCCAATTTGTGGTGTGTGTGTGTGTCTAGAACAGATCCCCCGTGAATTGGGAGGGATGACTGTATTTTCTCCCAGAAAACAGTGATATTTGGTGGCTTAACTGAGATTGAAGTTCCATTCAGCCAGCAGGTATTCATGTTTTATAATTACATATCCTTCCAAGATGAGAACATTTGTTTGCTTAACCTTGCTTTATATTCTCTGAATTTTCTCTTTTGTACCTAACCTCCTTAAAATATACTATCAAACAAAGCAGTACTACTGCAGCAGCACTGCACTATCTCTCATCTTTGTATGTCATCTTGTATCTTAAAGGAGTTGATTCTCATAAATAAAATGAATGTTAACTTAAGATTGCCAGAGAAGTAGGATAAATTTTCTTATAAACAAAAGCAGCAAATAACCAGTGAGTCTTCAAGCCTGTACAGTCGGAATCATATTGCACAATTAAGAACTTAGCTGTCATGACACAAAGTATAGTAACTTCGAAAAGTAACAGATTTGTAAAGTTTAAAATGAAACTAAGGTTACACAGCCCAGTTCAATGTTGAATCTGCAATACATAACGCATATACAGTAAGGATGGGTAAGTTCTGAAGGTCCGTTTTCCACCTCCCAGACCCAGTGGATTGTATCAGCTTCCAATATGAAAAAAGTGGGGGAATCAAAATTAAAATGCATTTCCAGTTTCAGAAAACCTTCTTTTAGAGCAGGGGTTGGCAACCTACGGCTCAGGGTCCGGGGCAGGCCCCCCGAGACCTTTGGACCAGCCCCTGCTGCACCCTGCCGCCGCCACATGCGTTGCGGCTGCCATTTTGTTTGCCAAAATGGTAGCCGTGACTCATTTGCACATGCACATTACTCTGGAAGTACTGCGCATGTGCAAGCATGCCGTCATTCCCCCCCACACACACCATTGGCCCACAGAACACCAGGGGACCCCCGACCGGCCCCAGGTAAGTGAAACTTGCCGACCCCTGTTTTAGAGCAAGATACACAAGCCTTGTTTTAATGCAAACAAATTCATCATTCTTGAAGGATACCAGGAGTGGGTTTTCAATTTTAATATCCCCCCCCAGAGGTTCCACAAAATGGCTTGTATGGCCTACATGCAGCCCACCAGCTGCACTTCACTTACCTAAAATTGACAGGTAGATTTGCTTACAAGTCTCCATGGAAGGAGAACCTGTCATTTCCCACTGCAATCTGTTCCACTGTCAAATAATCACTAACGTTTTTTTCTTAGTCTTTAGTCAAAATCATGATCCCTGTAATTTCCACTGATCGGTTCTAAGTCCTACCCTCTGAAGAAACATAGAATAGTCTGCTCCATCTTTTAGTACTTCAGTTATCTGAAGATTGGTACCTTGCATTCCCTTAATTTTATCTACACATGGCTAACCCTTTATCTTAACCATTTTTTTGTATCCTCTTACTAAGGATTGATCATATATATAACTCACATTTCTCTTAAGAAAATTTTGCGTTTCAAATTCACTATAAGGGCCTTTTTCACATTATCAGCCAAAGCACCCTCTTAGCACTTTCCCCCTTTATCTTTAATCCCACAAACCCATGTCACCATAATGCCATATTATTTGTATTCCATAGACTGAGAATGGAGGTAAGTGGAAGCTTAACTAAATGACAGCCTTAATTCAAGACAAAGGTATGCTATCGAGGGGGGATGTGCAGCTGTTCTCCCCTTTTTAAGTGTAGGGCTGACACGCCTTTCAATTGACCGGTCAAATATTGTCAACTGATCATCTATTATGCGACCACAGTCAAATATTTCACAAAGGCATGCTGCTGATAATGCTTGAAGAACTGGCATGTTGCCCATTTAGCACAAGTGGCTAAAGAAATAAACATTAACTTTTTAATATTTGCATTACAGTACTTTTGTTTTATTTTTTTTTCTTTTAAAAAAGTGTAACTGTAGACTGACCCTGATGTTTCAGGGCAAAAAGCTTTTCAGTGAATTGTTCACATGACAGGAATCTTATTTCCCAGGAATTCTGGGGTACAGCTCTCTTGACTGAATGTCTTCTCAACAGCCTGAAAACTACCAGGGCTTCAAGCAATCAGTAATTGTTCCTATATTAGGGCTGTTCCTATAAAAAAACATTAATTTACTTAGAGTAGTGGTTTGATCACTACAGTTTTGATCTAAGATTACTTAATGCAGAACCTATGTTTACTGTCTTGTTGGGAAGTCATTTGGGAACCAGCAGTGATGCAAAAAGATTAAACTCTTGGCCCCCTTTTTGTTTCTTTTCACAGATTTTGGGGAACAAGTTTTTTCATTATCCCCACAGCCAGCTTCCCTAGGTCCCAATGGGAAGCAGTTAACATTTAGGTCAGGCCTGCACAACTTGGCAGTAGATAGGGGCTAAAATTAAAATAGGTTAAACTTCTTCAGGCCACAGATAGATTTTAATTAAATATTATTTAATTATTAATATTAATTCTATCCTGATCCTCCTCTTCACAGCCCTCTCCTCAGAAGAAAGGTGAGCAGCAGAGGAGCTTTAACTGTCCTCCTCTTCCGCTGCACGAATTTCTCCTCAAGAAGGCTGAGCAATGGAGGAACCTTGAGGGGAGAGCATTTGCCCCTCTTCTTCCTCTGTTGCCCGGCCTTCTCAGAAGAAAGCCGGGCAAAGGAGGAGCCTTGTAGGGCAAGTGTTTGCCTGTCCTCCTCCTCTGAAACCTTGAGGTGCAAGCATGCCCCTCCCTCCTCCTCCCAGCCTTCTCCTCAGGAGAAAGCCAAGCAGCAGAGGAGCCTTGCTGGGTGAACTTTCATCCTTCCTCCTCCTCCTGCACATAGCACTCTCCTCAAGAGGAGGCCAAGCAGTGGAGGAGCCTTGAAGTTGTTCCACATCCTCATGAGCTGCCTGAAACCCTTTGGTGGACCACTTGTGGCCCCGGGCCATATGTTCTGCAGGCCTGATCTA